GGAAGTGCTTATAAAGAACGATTACCTAAATAAATTTAGGACTCGTAAAACTATTCCACAAACTCACATGGTAGTTATGAAAAGTACGGATACGGAATCGAACGGGAACGATGCATTCGGCCGGTAGTAGACGTGAAAAAGCACAAATGAAAAGGGTGTATGTACCGGCACCAGATGCAGAGACGCGTCCGACACGCTAGCGGTCCGCCTGCACTCCTTGCGGGCGCTGTTTGCCGTCTGGCGTACCCGAATAAAAATGAATAAGTGTGAGGGAGAGGGAAGAAGAAGAAAAGGTGAGATTTGAAATTGAAATTGAATCGAAATTGGATAAAGGAGTGGGGAGTAGAAGTGAAAGAGGAAAGGTAAAGCAACCATGACGGGACCAGGATAGTTACCAAAAATCTGAGCGAAGGGCGGGAGGACGGTTCGTGGATGGATAGACACCGAGGGGGATGGTTAAAGAGGAGTGGATCAAGGGAGGGAGGAAGCGGAGGTCGGCTATAATATTGGATATGCATACCCGCTCGTCGAGACAGCCGGAACGGTCCGTCTTGGGCTTCGCTCATGAGTACAGACACTGCACGAAGGCGAGTAGTACGGCTCATGTTAGCTCCAATTTAATCTCGCTTCCTCCCGCTGCCCCCGTCCTATTATTATTATCAACCTTATTATGCCGGACTTTTTCCTCCAACAAGAATCGATGTGGGTATACGGAAAGCCAGAGGGTGGTGCAGCAGAATGTGAACGAGGACCAAGAACGTGTTGTAAACAATCCCCATGGCAGGCTGAGAGCCCTCGCTCGCCAGTACACTGGGTTCATTGTCCGTGGCGATGGTGAAGTCGGACTCGTCTTCGCCACCACATGACGCAAAGGAGAGAAGGAAAAAGGAACGGACGAATTGGACGCGCCGCTCACGTTTCACCAGCGTCCTTCCGTATAGTATGTTGCGTCGCAGTAATAGCCCAGATATAAATGATGAAAGACACAGTGCGCGGGCTCGTACCGCCGTGGTGAATGTTGAAGGCTCCAACATTCCAACCATTGCAAACGCTGTGATTCAATATATCTTGACGCCGGAGAAAGGGTTGGGCGTGGGTGAGGACGACGGAGGGGCTGCGTCCAGAGATGCGGTGCGTGGGAGGGTGAGTTACAGGCGTCCCGATCCATAGCGTAAGCAGTGAGGAGAGGCTGACAATATTGAAAAGGAGGGGGAAAGTTCAGTGGCGGAAGTCGAGTTAGAAGGAATGGCCCCGGGTGGGATTAAGAACCAGATACGACGCAAGAGTCTCGGTAAACCAGGATGCGAGGTGGCAATAGGTGCGAGGTGTTGAATTGAGGCGAGAGACCAATGTCACCTAGTATCCAGTACAAGAGCTCGGATTCGGAGTGTGAGGAGGCAAAGACCGGACGATTCTCATCGTGGCTTGTGGGCCGGGAGCCACTCTGGTAGCCGTAGAGCCATCTAAGAAGGGCTGAGAAAGCCGTTTTGAATCGACCGGAGACTGACTGGGATGCGGATATCCAGCAAGTGAGGGTGTGTCATCTCGCGTACGACTCAGAGGAAAACTAAATCGAATGGACCAATTGCGCCTACTTCTTCCATCGCGATTGTCAAGGGAACTTACGGGCGGTTCTATGGGTTCGCTTATGGTGCTTCTTGAGTTTTTATGAGGAAGTCGGCGGTACATACAGACGCATCAAAAGCACAGAGCAGGCTCGGTGACGGTGTGCCAGAAGTTCACATTTCAACATGGCAACCCCAGTCAGAGAAAAGTTAATTTGGGTAATTCAGGATCACAGAGGTGCAGCAAAAGCGTCTCGACCAATGCTTGAACCAACGACTGACGAAATAATCAAATTCGGGAATGCAAGGGAGAGCGTGAAAGCAGAGCCCCGTCGGCGTGAATGGGGAGAGTGTGTAGGCTGGCTGCGGCGCAGTGGGAATCAAAAGCTTGTCGGACAAAGGAGCGGAGAAGAAACCGCTATGGGGATGATGCGAACCAACGACATGCAAATGAATACGAGAGATTCTGTTAAGAGAACGGATAACTCCCAGGCTCTCTCCTGTTATGATCAGTAACAGAGATATGGAGGTAAAATTAGTGGCAACACAGTGTACCGATCTGCAGGCTTTCCCCTGACGATGTCACCGACTCCCACACATAGGCGAGGTGTTTCTGCCCTCCTACTGCGGATCCAATTTTCCACTGAAATATTGTTTTTTCATTCGCTCTACGGGCTCGCTACAGGTTGCCGACCAAAGTAACCTAGGACTCGGTACCTGAGGCAATATTGACTCTTGGTTCGAGGGCTGCAAATGGGGATCGAAAAAACGTATAAAGCTTTCATCCCCAGCTGTTTGATTTCTTAAGCCTCATCTCTCGAGTCTCCACTTACAACATGCTCTTCAAAGCAGTCTTCCTCGCTCTTGTCCCCACCATTCTCGCCGCTAACCACGCCGTTACCGTGGGTGCTGACAACAGCTTTGTATTCAATCCTACTTCAGTTGTCGCTGACGTCGGAGATACTGTCACGTTCACTTTGTAAGTCACCTCTGGCTCAAACGTTGTGAGTCGAATTTATGTCTTTTATTTTCTAATCTAGCATGTCGAGGAACCGTGAGCAACTCACATGCAGCTTGATTATGGATTAATAACCGACTACAGACTCGTCTACTACGACCAACTTCTCTGGTGCAGTTTGCCCGCCTCCTGCGGGCGGTGTTGGCACAAATGGATGGGACTCTGGATTGTAAGTCTATCGCATCGTCCTTTTGAGCACTCGGCCCTAATAATAAACCCACAGCCTCCCCGCCACCACCGGATCCACCCCCGGCTTCGTTTACACCGTCATCGACACTGAACCCCACTTTGCGGCATGCATGCAGAACGGTGGAGCGCACTGCAGTGAGTAACTTCGCATTGGTAGGTATCCTCACTGATTTTTTGTGTCTATAGGGATCGGTATGACGTTTGCGCTGAACCCCACCGAGGAGCAGACCTACGCACAGTTCAACGCAAATGCGATTGCGTCCGAGCTGGTTTGTTCGTTACCACCATCATCAAAAACTTGAAGTCACTCTATGCTCGCTTTCCTGCCCCAACTTTCACGTTAGAAGTGCCCGTTGACTAGCAGCAGCTGCTGCTAGACCTGAGGAGAATCGGAAAGTCACATAAAAACTCTTTTACTTAAATCTTTTACTCTGGCCCTGGCCTTGCAATACCATTAGCTCCCGACTATGTTTCCGACTATCCCCGATAGAGAGTGAAAAGTCGCAGACTTTGCCAAAACTTTGGGTTGAGACCCCCAAAAGAAAAAAGCGGCCGACTGTGGCCACAAAAGTGCAGTTCCGCAGTTCGGAAAATTCGGGAAAGCACGGCCTTCCCACCAGCCTATGAAAAGCCGTGAAACCAGTCGAATGGCCGAAAGCGGTGGCTGTGGAATATCATGCAATTCCACTGGATATATATCTATATGAATATTAGATGGGCAGACGGATTTGTACTGAGACAATATCGAGCTTTGCGAGTATATTCTCAATTCAAAAAGTGCACCTGCAATAAAATACAGTGTGGTTGAAGGCGAGAGTGAAGAGAGTGGAGGGAATGAACTGTACCCCACCCATGACAGCACTGAATGATTTTTAATCAAAGAGCAAATACAAGGAACAAAAAATATATATATTTGGGGATTGGGGTTGGTGTGGTGTGTAGGTGATAGCAAGTAAACACAATGTGCTCATGGTTTGGGGAAGCGACAGATCATAGAAGGGGTGATTAAGTATGTCCATAAAAGTGAGGATGAATTATTTTGCCAGGAATTGGGATTGACGTTGGTGAACTTGCAACTCAAAATCAGGTTAAGTTGAATGACGCGAGAAAGAATCCGATTTTTCCGAAAAAAAAATCCCTTCAGGCTCTAGACTCTAGACTGGCGAGCGACGAAAGCATCTACGCTCTTTGCATAACGTGGGTGTCCCTGGGGCATTCACGTGGCTCAATGGCAGCGGAGTCGCAGAAGAAGAGAGGGAGGGGTTTAGTGGACAAGGAGAAGTAGCATCCAAATCAGTTTACATTCGAATGATGATTTTAGAGACACGCACTGCGTTCAGCGACCTCGTGTTGTGGACACGGGTCGATCCGTGTGGACCCGTGTCCGCACACGTGTTGACCCGCGTCCACACACGTCCACACACGTGTTAATCCGGTGCGGACGCGGGTCCACACGGATCGACCCGTGTCCACATCACGCTGCGGATTAGGCCGCTGAACGTAGTGACGCACAGTGAAAAATGTAGCTAATGCTCAGCTGGCGCACAAGATAAAAATCCTAGGAATATCAGCGACCGAAATTTGGAGCTTGTGTAAAATAATGTTTGCACATGCTATGTGGTGGAAAAATCTAACAACTCTTTGGCCAAAATCGAATATAAACTTGTAATATTTAGGTACCCCCCCTTCATTCAAAAAAGGCCAGGGCTTTGCATGCGATTTTCTATAACGCTTCGAGACACAGGATGGGAAAAAAGTACTTTCCCGTCAATCCAATCCAAAAATAATGCATTTAATAGTGGTTCTTCGTAGAAACTGTATCTAGCCCGCGGTTCGGTTCCTCCCCTCCATTGCAACTGTTGAAGCTGCCGTTTGAGGCCATGCAGATGTGCTTGTGCAGCTGGACCTTTGCTAATGCGAATCGGGCATCGACAGCCACAGACAGTACTAGTAGCCAAAAAGCGAGTTGAGATATTGAATCCAGTCCACGGAGACAAAATAGTCTGAAATTGCAAAGACCTAGTGGATCTGATAGGTATTGACGGAGTTATGAGCCATATACGACACCGGGGGGTGTCGTATCAAGTATAATGCTAGGCAAGGCAAAGCACCCGGGATACCGTGTCTAACTAGTGTAGTTTAGAGGGATTATTAGGTGGGCAGCTTGGGTAACATTGGGACAAGATTAATTAGTTACCTCAGGTGGACCAAAAGTTGTTACATATAGCGGTTGCTTGGTCCAGTGGTTAATGATGCTTCTCTTTCAGAAGTGGGGAAAGCAGGAGGTTATGGGTTCAATCCCCACCTTGAATGCCTTTTGCATTTACCATAAAAGGGTAAGCACAGCCACCTCATGTATTAACACAATTCATACATAATGAGTTTCTATAAGACAAGCCTTATGTTAAAGAAAATGAATAGCAGGTTGTAAAAATGCCTGGGTAATGTCGGGCAACTGTGAGATTCTTTTCTTTAACACAGTGCTTCTGGTAAAGAAAGCTGAGGAAAGAGTAAAACCATAGCAATTTCAGCCAGATTGGGAGCAATTTGAAGCCTCATCATTTTCTATAGTCTGACAGACCTGTTAAAGAAAGAAAAAGTGCAAAATGAGCCCAGCTGCCCAATTCGACAAAAAAAAACAGGTTGGAACCAAAAAAGCCAGGTTGGAAGAGATTTGAGGGTTTGGGTACAAAAAAATAGGGTTAGGGTGGCAAATAGGGCTTAGGGTACAAAAGAATGGGTTAGGGTGGCAAAAAGGGCTTAGAGTACAAAAAAATAGGGTTAGGGTGGCAAAAAGGGCTTAGGGTACAAAAGAATGGGTTAGGGTGGCAAAAAGGGCTTAGAGTACGAAAAAATAGGGTTAGGGTGGCAAAAAGGGCTTAGGGTACAGAAAAAATGGGTTAGGGCGGCAAAAAGAACTTAGGGCACAGAAAAAATGGGTTAGAGCAGCAAAAGAGGTTGAAGTCCAAAAAAAGCGGCTAGAGAAAGAGGTTAGGGTAGTAAAAAGGTAGCTAGAGTAATGAAAAAGAGGTTAGAGTATTGAAAACGGGCTTAGGGTACAGAAACAAGGGTTAGGGTAGCAAAAAAGGCTAAGGGCACAGAAAAGAAGCCAGGTTGGATCCAATTCAGACAAAAAGAAAGAAAAAGCAAAAAAAAAAAAGTGCGAGATCAGGCCCATTCAAGAAAAAAGCCAGGTTGGACGCAAAAAGCCAGGTTGGAGCCGATTCAGACCAGAAACACAAAAAAAAAACACATTCCACAAGATTGGTGAAAACATTTTGTTGCTTTAAGGCAGCAGCAGCCTTAAAGAAGACAACCTGGCCCCAGGTTGTCGGATAAGATAGTTAGAACATCACGTGGCATGTTCGAACTTTTGCTTCTCCCACTACCACGACCATTGCACCTGCGCAAGGAATCCACGGGATCGGCGACAACGCATGCAGACATTCAAGAAAGAGTTCATCACCGTGGTGTGTGTATGACACTCCCTTCCGTGCTCCATACCCGACATGGACACAAAACTCGTACCGCGACAATAGCAGCGTCGAAACCTCCTTCACCCGGAATCATGCAGGAATAAGGCGGACGATTTTTATTCAGCATGGCAAGGCCACTTCTCAGGTGAGCGGCTGTTTTGATATTCGATGTCTTGCGTGATACACGGCCCTTGGCAAACGCGACGCGAGGCACAGAGGACTGGAACTGGACGTGTGGACATCGCCGCGGGCGCCGGTGTCGCACTTGAATCAATAGCATCCGCGCATCACATCGCGCCGCAGCGACTTGGTAACGGCGAGGAGCCGTCTTCTAGTCCGCGTAGGAGTACTTGCTCCTCGGCACCGTGCTGGATTAATGGCCGCCGCAGCATCTGTACAAAGTTATCATGTACTCACCTACCTTACATATTTTGGCACCTACGCCTACATGTATTTAAGCACTGCAATTGCATATCCCCAATGAAAACATGAACTTTTATCTAACTCCCCCACTGGCTGTTTGCAGTACAGTAGGTTCAACGTATATAAAGTGACGAAATCTCAATGGCTAGCGAGAAGTGACGAGCTTAGGCCGAAATTTTGCTGAACTCACGAACATTCATTGAATGCCATCAAACCGACGAACTTATACGAATTTAGCCGAAGGAACGAAGTTACGAATTTGGCGCGGACTCGATGGATAGGAATATTGGGAAAATGGCTAAGCCAAGTCGCGGACATGTAAACAAATTGGGTGGCAAAAAATTGGTAATAAAATTCAAAACTTGTGCGCAAGGCGGTTAATGGCTTGACCCCGAGTCGAACAGGTTCTTCAGAAGGATATTGGAGGAACTGATGCAAATATTATAATGTGCCGGCGCGGTCCACACCAGTTCTGCTGATTATTTTGGTAAGAACACCGAGAGGTATGCTAGAAGCCAGGTGAGCATATTCATATAAGTATTTCGCGATCGCGGCCGGGCCGAATGAACCAGAAACCAGGAACCTTGTGAAATGTTTGTGACGGATGCATGAACCGTGGTGGTTGTCCTCGGTCAGAAAAAAAATGGCATAAATATGGAAGAAGATTAAGGCGGGCTTCGAGTAGAGATAAGCCTTCCTGGATCATGGCAATCGTCCCAAGTCCATGGTAAAAATATGGGCCGCAATAAGAAAGGGGTTCTATTCCCCTCAAAGGCCTAAGCGGTGCACCACGAGCTGTCTTTTTCTGCCGTGGAACCAGAAAAGGATTGACTATTGTGGTCGCATTTTTTTCAATATAAAAAATGAGCATGTTCTGCATCATGAATTACGGGTGTATTTATGCTAACCTGCAAGTTCAGCCTCTTGCCGTTCCGCTGCAAGACATTCGCGGACCCTCTTCGCATAAACGATAAAACACAACAACGCCGAGACCTCAAAGACTGGTGTTAGTAAATGCCGCCTAGAGTCAGCACGTGGTCCCTGCAAGGCTCCTCGTGTCGATGAGCCCGGACCTGCAGATTCCAGTGATACTGAGTCGGACACTGCCTTTGATGCGACGGCAACCGACCCGGCCACCGAAGGTGAAACTGACGGCGACGTTGAAGAGAAGCAGGACTCGATAGACATTGATGAATACAAGTCTATCAAGGCGATGGCAGATGCGGACCATGCTCATGTACAAGTACTTCTATTTCATGCATCTTTCTCAAAAAAAGGTTCGGTTCTCGGTTCGAACGCCCCTGAACGCCGAACCGAACCCGTTGAACCTGAACCTGCGGTTCAGGTTCAAGGTTCAACAATACGCCTGAACCGAATGCAAGTTCAGGTTCGGCGTTCAAAAAAAATGGCCCTGAACTGAACTGAACCGAACTTTGACAACACTAAGTCTGCGGGTGGCGTGAGTTGTTGGAAAATATGTGATGGTCCTCGATCCGTGCGACAAGCCCGTCGAAGGTCTCCGGCAACACGCGAAGGTTTCGACGGAACCGCTTTGGGTCGTTCTCCTTGAACTCTTCCCGTCCTCCTACTCTCTGCACATCGCCACCCTTGCCCGCCCCGCCCCGCACGCCCCCCGCGCTTATCACGAACCCCGCCGATCCCGCGGATGCGTACGCGTACATCGGCGTGCACTGGAAGGACGCTACACGTACAATAAAGCGATTCGGCATCTTCGGGGCATGTGGCCATGGGTGAGTCATCTCTGTATCTTTTTTTTGCCGTTTTTGTGGAGTTTCTGTTTTTTTCTACATACTTTTTCTTCCTGCTTGTTCGTCAGCCGTATTTCTCACTGTGTGGGTGTTCCTTCCCTCCCACTTTCTTTATCCTCCTCATTCCGCCCTTTTTTCCTCCCCTTTTCGTGGCGCAGTCCCCTGTTTTCTGTTCTTCTTCTTCTCCGCTCTCCTTTCCTCTCTTCAAACTTTTCCATTTTCTGCTCTATCCTCCCCTCTTTCACTTCCCGTTTTGTGTTCTAATTCCACTCCTCTCATGCCCGTGGAATTTCTTCTTTGCGAACAGGGTCTTTTTTTTTCTACCCATTTAAGCGTCGTTTATTCTGCGCGTCATTCTGCATACTTTTTCCAGATTCCTTCCTCCCTTCACATGATTTCTTCCCCGTCATTTTGCTTTTTTGGTTTGCCGTTTGCGAATACGCTCGTCGGCGGTGCGGCCATTATTTGTCCGCCTTTGTGAGGCGCACGGGGTAGAAGTGGCGGCATGGGTGCTGCATGGATGTATGCGGTGGGTTTAGACATAAACGTGCCATGCGGCGGGGAATGGCGTGCTGCACGAGGATGCACGGCGCGAGGCGGGTTGGGGTACGTGCACTACGAATTTCGGACGTGTGCGGTGCTGAACTGCTTTAGGGCGTAATTTCCTTTGTCACCATTCCTGTTCTCTAGATATCCTTCTTCATTAATATTATTCGATGGAATTGGCGCTGACACGTGTTCATTCGTTCCGTCTTCGTTCCATACATACCTGACTACCTCGGGACCTGTAGGCCTGAATACAAAGGATTTTTTATTTCCCTTCATGCATTCAATGCGCTGCGCCTTCGGGAACTCAGCTGATGCCTTGCTACCAGTTGTACCTCCTCCATTTTTGTACTCAGCCATGATCAATATTTTTGGGAGCAAGTAAAAAAAAGAGGCCGTAAGAGATGCGAAAGGAGTGCTCGGCATGATCCGATGTGCGGTGATGTCTGTTCATATAGCCAAATTAAGGCATGGGTAAAAAGGTTTTTTGTCTGTGTTTAAGGGGGTTATGATTTTTCCCCGAGTAGGGGGCATTTTTCCCCAAGTATGTAAACAACTGCAACTCCCCAGCCACTATTTTCAATAGGGTTTTTCCTATTGAATTTAGTGGCAGTGACTAAATCAACTTCACACAGCCACTAAAAAGCCCCTCACAGATTTCAGTCTCAAATGAATTTTAGGTCCCCTCAGATTTGAAAGGGACAATAACATCTGTAAACAGAAGTACTCATAATTCAAACTCCGCCATCCAAAAACATTTTTACAACAATGGTGGGGCCGCTACCGGTGTATATATCCTACCCAAAAATCACATAACACATTCTAGAGTGCTTTGGTAACATTCCTGGATAGATTTGATGTGTAGGAGCAGGTTTGGAGGTATAAATAGCTGATGAATAGCTTAGCACACACAAGACATACCTTCGCTTCGCTCCGGCAAATGATTCTACACCCGTAACTTGATTTGGCTCATCGTTTGGGAAGTGTGTCAAGAATTCGATGGCTGAGCAGTGAGAGATCTTCTGAAACCTGGGCTATTCGTGCACCTCGATTTAGGTTGATTCATGGTCCGAGCCAATAGACTGCGGAAGAAGCAGGC